AATGTTATTAATATATATTATACGTCATATGTCACTGGTTTGTTATAAAGAAACCCAAGCGCTGGCATTACATCATATTTCCGTTGTTATTGGTTGGATTGGAGCCTATGATGAGTTAAATAAGGGGATAACGATAATACCAAGATAGAAAAAAACAGAAAAAAACAAGGCGACTATCAAAAGGCCGTATACGTTTATCTTCGTTATTACTGAACGTATAGAGACATACGAAATATAACTTAATAGTAATAATACTGAAATTTGCTTATTCTGTCTGTCTGTCAGTAACGAAAACCTTGGCTCCGGTATTATATCATATATACGTTGTTCTTGTTCCGATTGGAGCGTATGATGCGAATAACGGTGCAATAACCCCGTAGGTCAGTAATCCCAATCAGCAGTTTTGTCAGCATTTAATTTTTATATAAAAGAAATTCTTCTTATCATGGCGCCGTCTCCTTTCGAAGAATGGCGATCTAAATGGCAATTGTAGTTTTGGAAACTGCTGCGCGAAAGGTTTCTGCGGATGAGTGGTTGAACCATCTCCTCAGGTCTTTCAGCCACGAGTTCTGGCGTCTTCCTAATGATCTTTTACCCTGTTCTTTTTCTTCCAGTATAATCTTCCAGTATTTCTTCCAATATAAAAGAAATACTAATGTAATTAAATTTACCTAATTTTAATCAATCAGGCAGTGCAGTATCGTTGTAGAAGTTATTGAATTTCCTTTTTAGAAATACCTTCGTAAGCGAAAACTTTTAACTGGCACAGTACAGTACGATAGTGGGAGACTCTACAGAAGATCTTCGTCGTTCTTAAACGCTTACCCGCTACGAACCAAATTACAGGGAAATCTACAACCGTTCAACCCCAGAAGTCTACGAAAGATCAGTGTAGAAATCAATTTATATGACAAAATACGATAAAAAGAAAGCGAAAGAAGAAAAGGAACCAACATTTAATATTTTTTCTTATCATTTTTGCAGAGATAAAGCTTGCTTCACAAGCTTCATCTCTTTTCCACAAAAAGTAAACCAAAGAAATTTATCTGTCCAGAGGAGTTTCCACAAGAAAATACAGAAACCGACTACTGCATCAATCAAATTCTAAAATTATCCAATAATGTTGCTCAATGTCAAAACGTGCCAATCACAATTAGCACGACAATTATCCAAAAAGTATCGGAAGCTCACTATATTGCTGTATTGCCAAAAGTCACTAAAATCTTCATTGTTCTACTTCTAAAATTGAAGTACTCAGAGGAACATTCCTAACAGAACTACAACTAGGATATAAGTTTAGAACCAACAACGAAGTTTAAGAATAAAAATTAAACTTCAAAGAGAAGATCCAACACTAAAGCCTCTAAAATTAGACAGGATCCAATTAGATGAATTACATAAACTCTCAACAGAAGAAAAAAGTCTCCTACCCGTGTTTTTAAAAACAATGGATCATTATCATCTATGAACACCACCAATTTATATCCTGGCAACAGCCTTATCATTAGTTTGGTTTACAATTTACGAAAGTTATGGAAAAAAGAGAAATAAAGAAGAAGAAGAAGATGCAGCTGATCCAGAATCTGCTTATTATGTCTGTATGTGTCTGTCCGTAACGAAAACTCTAGCTTCAGCATTTTACCATATATCTGGGGATATTATTCGGATTGGGGCATTTGATACGTTACATGAGAGAAGAGAGGATAAGGATTATATTAAATAGAAGAAAAAACCAACAAGGTGACTACCAAAAGGGCACTACACGTTATAAATTTTTGGAAGCTAAAAGTCAGCAATTTTTAATCTGTTTGTTAATAACAAATTTAATAAAATGTTAGTTTTTTTCAATAAATCTCATAAATATAAAGCCTACAAGAATATATTGCGATTTACAAAATAGATCTAGAGTGGCTCGGCAAGTACAGTTTTCTAGATAATCGCTCTCCGGGATAAACAAATTGAATAATTTTTAAACTATTTGGTCGATATTTTTGAAATATTGCATATTCTAATAACTCATTAACTGCCAAACTTTTGAAGAGATATATTGTATGTTGTTTTGCAAAAAAACAAAGGTATCAATATTTATAAATAAGTACAAAAATAAGGGTTTTTTTAAAGTTATCGCGGTCAATTGTTTATGTTCTTTATTTTGGAAACTCTCAAAATATAGAATTATTTATGATCTACAAGTTTTATTAAATCGTTTTTTTCTAGACTGTATGGGAAAAATTTTTATAGGCAAAATCTAGTTTTTCACTTTTTAAGATTGTTAAATAAAACAAAGCAAAATCAGCTGTGTTCACGGAATTTTCATGAGCTACCCTCATATATCTTTTAAAACCTTCAAATACCTGTACAAAATTTGTTCAGCTTTTTTTCTTTCTTCACTGGGGTAAACCGTATTATAGGTAGTTCAGTTTATTATCTTTTTCTTTTCGTTCATATTCTGATACAAACGATTTTCAAAAACTAACAGTTACTTGAAACTCTTCCATCTCGAACCTCACTCTAGTAAATTTTAATTCTCAGTGGAATCACAACAGCACAGTTTTCGTCATTTTCCTGAAAAAGTGTGTACTTGACACTTGTAGAGTAAAGAATGTGTATGCAGTTTTCTTTAATTTTGTAAATTAAAGGCGTTAGAAAAAAACATGCAGCGATCTTTAAAGACGTAGGTTGGGGGTATTTTCGATTTAACTATATGATAATGTTATTGCTTTTATTTATTATTAGAAAAGCCTTAATTTAGTCTGACTTTCTAATTAAGATTAGTATAATTATGAAAAAATGGCCCAAGCAATTCTTAAAACTAAGAAAAAATAAAAAAAAGACAAATGTAAATATCAAAAGGACTGTTGTTGTTTGTTGTTGTTTAAATGACTGCGGACACTAAATCCATTCGCCAATCTTACAATTTGAGGTGTAGTGTGTGTGTGTGTGTGTAGAGTAATTGTCTTGTTACTTAGCAAAGTCGACGTCATTGTCTTTGCTAAGAGACGCTAATTGTATCCGAACGTCTGCGGTCCCTCCGGTGTGTACCGATCACACAAGGATAGAAATTATTTTCATTTATTAATTTTTTTAATAAATATCAAAAGGGCAAAAAGATATATTATAACATAACTAATGAAAATGTATATTTCATTACTTACTTTTTAATATATTTTAAAAAAGAAACAAATATGATCATTATAAGCAATGAGGAAACTAAAATAGAATCAAAAAAAGAAAATACAGTAAAGGTGAATTCAAATGTTCGGAGGTCCGAACAACCTCCATCCTACATATGTAATGTATCACCTCCACTTACCAATCACATGAGTTGAAGTGGAAGAAACAATATCACAACTAAAAAAATGGCAAAGCTCCTGGAACTGACAATATGCTGAACTCATAAAGCTAATTAACACCGACGTTACTCAACGACAAATAAAAATATTCAATGACATATATTTAAACGGAGTAATACCAAGATCATGGCTAAGTCAACATTTATTGCTCTACCAAAGAAAACAAAATCCATATCCTGCAATTGATTTCGGGATCATTAGCTTAATGATTTACATTTTAAAGTTATTTTTAAAAGTCATACATCAAAGAAAATATAGACTATGCGAAGAAAAAAGCAGCCGTACACAGTTTGGCTTTCGGAGTAGGTACAAGAGAGGCACTCTTTATCATACAAGTGCTATTTCAACGATATAGAGATATGAATTTTGATATTTATGCATGCTTCATTGATTACCATAATGCGTTAAAGATAGTAAAACACAAGCTGAGCTAGATATTATTAATTTTTGGAATAAACACCTGTGATCTAAGAATTATTAGCAATCTTTACTGGAATAAAACATTGTCTATCCGTACAGAAGCAGGAGAATCCGATGATATTCAAATCAAACGTGGGGTCCGACAGGGATGTATACTAGCACCCTTGCTGTTTAACATATACTATGAAGAATGTATCAATAACATAAGATAAGCGGATGACACGGTGGTATTCGCTGACAGTTATGAAACCCTCCAAATGAATAGAATCACAGAATTGAGTCAAAAATATGGACTTTCACTGAACATTATGAAAACAAAATGTATGATGATATCTAAGAATTAACCGCAAATTGAAATAATCAGTGTGAATGGTCATCCAATAGAAAGAGTAAAAACATACACCTTATACCTATCTTCGTACGAACGTCAATAAAAATTGGGACCATTCCCTAGAAATAAAATCTAGAATAGAGAAAGCAAGATTTACATTTAAAAAAATGGCTAAGCTATTCAAATGCCACGATTTATTAGTACCCATAAAAATCAAATTACTACGATGTTATATATTTCCTATACTGTTGTACGAAATTGAATCGTGGACTCTTAGAGACGATACCTGCAAGAAAATTGAGGCATTTATAATGTGGCTTTATCGTCGAATCCTGAGAATATCCTATACCGACCAAGTTACTAACCAGGACGTTTTATGAAGAATGCAAAAAGGAATAAAGTTGTTAAAATTTCGTTTACATAATTTATTATCTACATGCATAGGTTCATAAAGAGAATTAAACTAAAGTTTTATCATTATCTCTTTATGGTTTTAAAAAATATTTACTGCGGCAATAATTTCATCCAGGACTTTTTATTGGCTAATATAATTCAGCTCTAATTGCCTTATTAACTATAAAATTCTTATATCTCCAAGGAAAAATCTCGTTTTTGTAGTAACCTAATCCCCCGAATCAATCGTCCATTTCCTCATTACTAAGTTTAACAAAGGAGCCTGGTGTAATTAAATCAAGTGATTTATGATGGTGGGTGTCGTATTAGAGCGTCGTGACGCTGCACAGATAAGGTCTATATCGGCTGACGTCGACTGATCGCATCTTCTACTATTCAGACGAAGTTATTGGACTGTGGTCATGTAGAGAAATATTTGTTTTAGTAGATTGATTCCGTTGATGCTTTTTAAAAGTCAATATTATAAATAAAATACAAAATATAAGTTTCTTCGATATAATTATTTTGATTATATTATCCGTTACAATTTTTGTTTACATTTATTTAAAAATTGTATATATTAAAATAAAATATAAATAAAATCATAAATATTATACATAAAATCCTATACTACTGGGACAACTGGCACAACATGGCAACACCACGCATTATCCAGTGCGCGGAAGGTTGAGATGACGGAAGGAACATAGCTATGACAAAATTCGTCGAATGCCCCGTGGTGGACAAAATACCTCTTCTCTCTGCTGTTTTATATACTGGGCATGTATAGGTTTTTCTTTCCTTCAGGTCCTCTCTCTTCAAAGGTTTTAACCACATCTACAAAATAAATATATGTTAGTCAAACAGATATTTTTCTACAAAAGTATTTTTAGGTTAATATATTTTAGATTGTAGGATTAAAAAAAAGGATTCATATCCGGAAGATCCTGTGCAGACGCCGTATGTGTTCTAAGACAAATAACAGAAAAGGCCATCGAGTAAAATAAACCAGCATATCTATGTTTTATAGACCTGACAAAGCCTTTCGATCGCATCCAAGTCGAAGACGTCTTATACCTACTGTATAAAAGTAAGATAATAACAATAACGAGAATTCTTAATTACCGTATAAATACATAGGCGTATATTCAACGGGAACAACTGGAATTATTCAATGATAATTATAAAGGGTTGGATTGCATGAGTTGTAGACAGGATGGAAACCAAATAAAAGATCTGAAAGCATTAATTCTAACTTTACAAACTGATATTCAAGCACTTAAAAATAAAAACCAATCAATAAAGAATTCTTCAACCATGTTGGTTATGGAAGAAGTCATTGAGAAAATAAATGAACGTAAAAACGCAAACGCAATGCTATTTTATTTGGTGTACCTGAGCAAAATACTCAGCTCCCAATAGTCGCAATGATAATGATATACAGCAAGTCTAAACAATAATTCAAAGTATGAATACTAGCGTGAACGTCAATGAACTCCAGATATTTAGGCTTGGACAACCAACACAAGATAAAAATCGTCCGATCAAGATTACACTTAAAGATGAAAATGACGTCTCAGCATTAATCAAACAAAGCCAAGATCTTCAGGTTTACTATCAGAATGTGCGTGATTTGAATTCCAAAGTAATTGATTTTTACTATAGTGTTAGTAAATGTGAATTTGATGTCATTGCTCTAACTGAGACTTGGCTCAACTCTGATGTTATTAATTCGGAATTCTTTAATGATGACTCGATGTAATTAATAAATCGACTGGTGGAGCTGTACTGTTGACACTTAAGTCAAATTTTGAGTGTGTGGTTGTTAATGTCTCAACATTAATTTGATTTACATTTTCCACTAGTCTATTTGAGACTACATTATAATGCGCTCCCTAACTTTCGCGTGATTGGTTGGTGGGTGGGTCCCAATTTAAAAATTGGCGGGTTTAATGTTTATTAAAATGACAATAACATTGAGGTATTGTGGCACAGTATATCGCTAAACAATTTATTAGCAATATATTGTGGTATTGGTACAAAGCGGATGATGAGTACAGTTTTATTAGAAATTAAAATTTATTTTTCTTTTGACATTATGTAGATAAAATTAAATTCTGACATTGTGTTTATTTAATTTTGATATGCTAGTGATGCTTTATTTTATTAGATATATAGATATTGTTTTAATTTTTTTGTTTAGGTAATTTTTTATTAAGATTTAGAGGTTCCTCTTATTATTTTGATTTCTAGAACATTCGTTACCATTATTATTCTCATTAGTTTTCTCTATGTGGAATCGGCTTCTCTAAGTATTTTCCTCTAAACTTTTCGGTTCTCTTCCAGGGACTAAGTACCTCTCCGCTTTTTGTATGAGATTATAGTTTTTCAGAAACATGTAATTTCTGTTCATCCCCTTTTTTGCTGCCCTACATTCAGTACCATACATCATAGCTGGTCTAAAGGCAGTCCTATACAATTTAGGAGACCTTTAGAGGGGTTTTCCTTCGCCATTGCACCAATAACGGCCCCCCCTCCTTTGATTTCCCAGATTTTTAATAAAGAATAAAGATATTTTAGATATAGCTATTTAGTGTTTTATTTGGTTTGCAATTGTTATTTCCAGTAAACCTCTGCTTCATTTTGTTGACAATGACAATTTTTCATAGCACTCAATTCACAATATATCTTTTTATTATCCTACATTTGCGGTACACATACTTATCCTACAGGTAGCGGGTAGGTACTCTTCCACAATCCCAGTGGTGGATAGACTTACTTCAGGGATGCGATCCTGCCTTACGCGAGCCTTGGTTCTCTCTCAACTCCTGTGGAGAGAAATCATGCCCTAACCCCATTCCTACCCAATACCTACTATCCTACCAATTTCCCAAACCAACTCACCAACCCGCCTGGCAAGCGTGGTGTTTAAATGCCAAAACCCCTCAGCATGAACAAACATTCAAGAAAACCGCCCTCAGTCCCCGGCAGCTCGCTAGTTCCCGACCAAGGTAGCGGTAGGACTCACGGACAGCGGGTAGAGGGTGCGAAGAATCCCCGGGATGTAAGAGGCTACCAAGAACGACGAACGTTGCACATAATTACGTATAATGTAAGAACTTTATCTAAGGATGAAAAAATGACAGAACTGGAGGAAGAACTCAAACATGTGAAATGGGATATTCTAGGAATTAGCGAAGTCAAAAGAAGAGGTGAAGATCAGGTCAAACTAAAATCAGGAAACATATTCCACTATAAAGGGGAAACGGAATTGACAACTGGAGGAATAGGTTTATTAGTACACAAAAAATTACAGAAAAATATACAGAGCATTGACTGCATTTCCCAAGAGTTATGTATATAAATCTAAGACTAAATAAGAGATACACTCTGAAAATAATCCAGGTATACGCCCCCACCAGCGATTACAAAGATAAAATTGTCGAAGCCTTCTATGAGGAAATCGAAAGAGCAAAAAAGCAGGAACCGGCTCATTACAATCTGATAATGGGAGATTTTAACGGGAAACTCGAAACGAATATGATTATATAATAACAGACAAAAAGCAAATTATTCAAGATGTCACTGTACTCAATAAACTATCAGTAGGAAGCGACCACAGACCAGTAAGAGCTAGAGTAACGATCAATCTACAAAAAGAAAGAGCAAAGATGATAAACAGTTGTAAACGCATAGTTTGGAATTCACCAAATCATCCAAAAGCATACATAAGAAATATAGCCGAAACTTTACAGAGTAATAATCCCAAACCTCTAAGTATCGACGATCACAATAAATTAATAACAGACTCAGTTAGAAACGCACAACTCAAATTTTGCAAGAAAAATGACACCAAAAGTGAGAAGATTAGCAAAGATACAAGGGCTCTCATGGAAATACGACGAAACCTAAGCGAGAACGAAAAGGGAAACAGAGAAGAATATAAAAAACTAAATAAAAGAATTTCAGCGGAAATTAGAAAAGATGTAAGAAGATATAATACTAATGTAATTACTCAAACAGTAGAAGAGAACAAAGGTTTAAAGATAATGAAAAGAAAACTTACGCAAAGTAAAAAAGAAATATACAAGCTGAGAGATAAAGACGGAAAGGCAACAACAGATAAAGAAAACATTCTGAAAATAACTAGAGAATTTTATAAAGACCTCTATACCAGCCAAAGACCACAAGACAATTTCCCGACACGAGTAAAGACTCTCATAAATCAGGGATCGGAAATTCTTTTACCCATTACTGTGTCAGAAGTAAGAGCAGCTTTAAAGGAAATGAAGAACCATCGATCGCCTGGTGATGATGGACTCGTTATCGAGGCAATAAAAGCAGGTGGAGAAATTTTATTAAAATCAGTAAGCGAACTGTTTACTAAATGCTTACATGCGGGTACAATTCCAAAAGACTGGAACAATGCAGTAATAGTCTTGTTACACAAAAAAGGCGATATTACTAAATTAGAAAATTATAGACCCATCAGCCTCTTGACACATATGTACAAACTCTTTATGAAAATCTTAACAAAGAGGCTAACACCTAAACTTGATTTCTATCAGCCCAAAGAACAGGCAGGCTTCAGGGCAGGATATGGCACAAATGACCATTTGCGCATACCATAAAGATCTTAATAGAAAAGTGCATCGAGTACAACATACCACTGGTTCTTGCATTTGTCGATTACGAGAAGGCTTTTGATTCTGTAGAGTTTGAAACAATACTGGAAGCCCTAAATCAAAGCCGAATAGATTACAGGTACACGACACTAATCAAAAACATCTATCAGAACGCTACATCAAGTATACGATTGCACGAAGACACAGAAAAATTCAGCTTAGGACGAGGAGTTAGACAAGGAGACAATATTTCACCAAAATTGTTCACGGCAGCTCTAGAGTCAATATTTAAAGGTACTCAATGGCAAGATATGGGCATCAATATAGATGGAGAAAGATTAAATCACCTAAGGTTTGCAGATGATGTTGTATTAATCGCAGATAACTTACATGATACAGTTACTATGATGCATTCGCTTAAAAGTCTGTCTGAAAGAGCAGGATTAAAGATAAACTTTGAGAAAACTAAAATTATAACAAATCTCGTAATGAGTGGAAATATAACTATTGACAATAATACCATACAACAAACAGACACTTACAAATATCTGGGACACGAAATCAAAATAAGCAGAGACAATCAAACACATGAAATACAGAGGCGAATAGGTCTAACATGGGCAGCATTTGGCAAATTAAGCCATATTCTAAAAAGTTCAATTCCCATGTGTCTCAAGCGAAAGGTTTATAACCAATGTGTTTTACCTGTACAAACTTATGGAGCAGAGACTTTAACACTCACGCAAAAATCTGCGAATAAACTTAGAGTTACACAACGAGCCATGGAACGTGCAATGCTGAACGTGAGCCTTCGAGACCACATAACAAACCAACAAATCAGACGAAGATCAGGAGTTCAAGACGTCATCGAAAGAACCACGACGCTTAAGTGGAACTGGGCAGGGCACTTAGCCAGAACACAAGATGGACGGTGGACAAGACGTATTATGGAATGGAGGCCCAGAGATTATAAAAGAAGCCGAGGACGACCACCGACTAGATGGACCGATGACATTAAACGTGTAGCGGGAAACTGGCTACAAGCGGCCCAGTGTAGAGAACACTGGAAAGAATTGAGGCAGGCCTATGTCCAGCAGTGGACGCGATTGGCTGATTGATGATGATGATGATGACATTTGTGGTAAAATCTAACAGAATTCAGTGTAAGGTTCTAAAAAATGAAAATGAATAAATGTCAATTTGGATTTAGGT